AGTGCAGACTTCTGATGGTGTAATTGTTATTGTCACTTACAGAATACAGATTTTGTTTTCTATAAAGCAGGATAGTTTAAAAAATATAAAAAGGGAAATGAGATATACTGTAAATATAGATGTCTTTTTTCTAAATCAAATTCTTTCTTTGTGATGCATTAATTATGATGGGTCAAGAGATTTTTGGGTAATTGGATTTTCTCAGAAAACATCAGCGATAAACATATATCAAAAACATTCTAGCAATAATGTTTTATTTGGTTTGATTTTCTTTTCATATCTAAAAACGAAAACCCATGGCTCTTTGACAAAGGGAAATGAAACATTTTGCAATTTTCTCACTCTCTGTTGCCCTCCACACCTAAACAAGTAACGTAAATGCTTCAGCCCAAGACGTCAATGTCTATATCTTCTATGGGCATTTATGTGTATTGCTTTAACACAGAGCTCACATTGCAAAATAAAAATGTGACTTAACCGAAAAGGAAAGGAATTAAAAAAAAAATACCCAAATATAAATTTATCATAACAGAAGAAACAGCGCCTCCTACAGTGGAAATGTACAAAAGTTGTAATGCCTGTTTGGGAATGTGTCAAAAGTCAGATTTTTTTTTTTGTTACTCCTTCATTATTAGTTCTAAGAATATGTTTTTATTTAGAATCCTCATCCACGCAGACACAAAAATTGCTTTCCAACATTTTTTATTGTATTCACTTACATAATTAAGTAAATTTATGTTTATTATTTGCATAATGGGCACAGTTCCTTTTTCCTCACTATTTTCACATATTAGTTTAAAATATTTTAAACTAATATCTTTTAAAATATTTTATGAGTGACACTTCTAGCAGAAGAGTGTCACTGTTTTCAATGAGCTCTTTAAATAAAAAAAATGTCCGAGTTCTTCTCAGTCTATGTATTTATACATAAATATTCGACCCATTACCTACAGGAACATATGTTTTATCCCAACAGAAAATAATTTGTATTTAAATTTGACAAATATATTTTAAAACAAAAATGTACGACACAGTAAAGGCTTTTGGTTTCATTCCCTGGTTTCTGAGATTAAAACATGGAGGGACTAAAATATCAGTGCTTAACAGTTTTACTGAGGCTTTATATCAATGAACTACTACTCTAATTCTTGTGAAAGTGTGTTTTTGGCACACAGTAAACAGTTTAAAATCTTAGAAAGAGAAAGCCAAAAGGGCTTCAGTAGAGACACAAAGCTTCACCTTTGAACTCACTTATCCTCTTCTGTTTATTGTGTTTTCTAATAATAAACTAAACCAAGTTAGAGTAAGCTAAACTGAGCCAATCTAAGCTTAAATGTGCCCTGCTGCCATTTAAATCATCAAGTTAATCATATAAGCAATATTGTGATCAAATAGTGTCATTCTCTTCCAGATACTGAGGTAATAATTTTAACAATTATACAAGTTTTGTGATACATTTTTTGTGGTTTGGCTCGGTGAATTATGTTAGCAGTATGACAGCCTCTCTGTGGGTCTCTGCTCATAAGGAGTGAAATAGTGATAACAAATTGAATTTTTTGTTATTAAATAAAAAAAGTGAAGAGTTTCAACCTATTCATACAATGTTCAGGGATAACATTTGCTACTCTTGATGTAGTCCACATGAAGCTGAAATACAATATGTGATCACAGAGTAAAGACATGCTGGCTCAAGATTGTCACCAAAAGCTCATGTCTGAACCAACAACAATGAAAGTAATGGATGAATCCTCTTGAAAATGTTCACATTCCTTCCACAAAGATGTGGTTAACATGCAGTAACATGTATGATGCGGAGGCCAAGTATGAAGCTCAAGCCACTGCTGAAGCAACTGTACGTTAAGACAAGTCTTCTGAAAATAAACTTGGAAATTTGTGACCAATTGCAAGATTTGAAGAACTTTTTGAAAGAAATTGTTGGTTTCTTTCAAAAAGAAGGAAATCCATGGATTTCTTTCATCGTAATTACTTTGTCCAAACAAATAAAGCAGCAAGTTTAACAATCAGATCAGCAGCATTGACACGGGCTAAATCCAAAGTGTTGAAAGAAGCTTTTCAGGGTTTCTGAAACCCAGGAGACGATAGAAATATTTTTGATAGATTACATGTCAAGGACAGTCATAGATGGGAATCGCTTTTTGTGTTCGAAGCCAACATGCTCACCCTGCAGCCTCGGCTGAATGATGATTTAACCAACAGCTAATTGTATCATAGTATAATGTCAATGCCTAAAAAAGGTTTTATCTCTGTTCTCATTACTGTGTTCAGAGGTTGTCTAAATATGAACTATCTCCTAGCAAACAAAGTTTTCATTTCAGAGGTCAGTTGGAGAACATTAGAGAAGAAACAGCATTATAAAGACCACAGAAGACACACCGGGGAGAAAGTTGGGGAGATGGATATAAAACAATATCCATGGCTTTTCCATCTCTTATTTGAAATGTGCTGACTGTGAAATAATTTCAAACTAGCACCCCAGGCAATGAGTGCATTATTTAGAGAGCCAAAGCCAACTCAGCCACAGGCAGTGACCCGCTATGTGAAAGAATGTTAGCTTTATAGTTTGCCGACAGCCATGTAGGTTCACAACAAATATGAGAAAGACGATGCAAAATACTCTGTGAGGCAGACAACTAACATTGCACATCACCCTACAGAATCCTACTACCATGACAAAAGTGGTGGCAGTACAAGGCTGCTGGGATGATTGTTCTCATGGCAAGATGATTTTTACATCTTTAGTTGTAAAACATTTTGAAAAGTCCTTTGTGTTGGTGCCTCACATAAAATTACATTTAAAAGTTTTGAAAATTTGTGATTTTAATATCACAAAATGTGTAAGATTTTTGTGACATGAACACTTAGCTAATTCACAAAGTCTTTCTTCTATATCCCAGAAAATAAAACTTTCACGTTGAGAAATCAGTCAGTTATAAATTTATCGTAGGAGTGAGCATGTGAGCACATGTTTGTTTGTTTTGTATCATCGGTCTATCAAATGCCAGGCTTGTGATAGACAGTTGACATACTGAGGTGACCTGGTTGTTGATTTCTGGAATGTCCTGGGGAGGCAGAGTCAATGTTTGGCCATTACACAGTCAATTGTACCAATTTAAATCTGCAAGCCCCAATGACATGATGGCATAAGGTATGAAAACTGTTACCATTGAACCTTTTGATAAATTAGCTAAGTTGAAGTGTTCCTTTATATCCAAGGGTCAAATGAAATGTTTGACACATCTTTTTAACCAATTAGCTTGGGACCATTTCACTGTTACATGAAGCTGGTTACATTTATCATCCTACGGTTGAATTACATGAATTAGAGAAATCACACTTGACAAAAAAAGCTTAAAACGCATTGTACTTATTCATATGTGGTCATTTAGTTAAGTATTAAAGTTAATTATGAAATGTCTGCCTATCTTCTACAAAATATCTTGGAAAAAAAAGTCTTGCTTATTACAAGTAATATTCCCCTGGCTTTTTAAGGCCTATGAGACCATAATTTGTTTCTGAAAATGTTTTTTCCTCATAGAGGGAGACTCATTCTTAATTTTTAAAACATGTTACTGCTCCACCTGGAATTTTCCTCAAACTAACTCAAACCAAATACTGTAATAATGTGCTGCTTCTTTTCCTAAAGTGCATCTAAATGATCTGATCTGAACACAAAGCAAAGAGAGAGAAAAATCCTGTCTTAAATCAATACAAATACGTTGACTGTTGTCAGATTGCGGGCTTTCCTCGTGTTCTTAGAAACACACAAAGTTAATAAAAACTTTGCACATAACAATCCACTGTTTATTTAAAACTAATCTTTTTGTATTTGGTGGATTTTTCTGCTAGAATAAATATAGTACTCTTGTAGGAAGTGAAGCATCCATTATTTTCAATAATCTGAAGTGTAACTGCATTCAGCTAATTTTCTGCAAACTTCCATGAAGCATGAATTACAAATGACGTTGCTTTCTTGGCAGGAGCTAGTTAACCAGTTGCCCCACTTGCAATTGGCAAATATTTGCTGTCTCTTTTTAGTTTACCATGCTAAACTCTACACAGATGTTTTTTTTTTTGATGGAAATACTAAGAGGACTTTGCGCAACAGAAATGTATTGAAAGGCCACAAAAGAATACTATTTTGCTGACTTCTTGAAGATGTTCCAACATCATACACACATTGAGCTTTCCAAGAGTTCACACCCTTTGAACTTTTTCACATCTGTTACAAACAAAATTGTCAACGCACATTACTTAGGTTTTATTTGACAGCCCCACATAAATTAATTAGAACATAAAAGCAGAAGGAATAGTCTACATGGTTTTAAATTTATTTTAATTTATTATTACAGCTACTTAAGCTCACCTTGGTTTAATGTCTCTACAACTTTATCCCCTGTTCTTTGAACTTAATGACGCTATTTATTTGCTAATCACAGTCAGCCAAATCCATATGCTTGTCACAACAGATTTTACTTGCAAAAATATTCGCAAAGCCTCTATTTTTCTTCTGATTGAGAGCTGTGCACTTTGTTATAACAGTCTATCCCATGGTTCAACTTTCACAACACATTGCTGATCAACCCTGTTTTGTTTAAAAGGGTTTGTTTTACGATGTGGACTCATTCTTTGCAGTAACCCCTGGTCAGGCTGAACTTATGAAGCATGTAAAAAACTGTTTCAAAGGACAGCTGAGAGGGACAGAAGAACACAAGAAAGTCATTTTTCTTTTTTCTTTTTGAAAAGCTCATTATTCCTCAAGTTTGCCTCTGCCTGAAAAGAACCCCCTCCTCTACCTTATTTCACTTTTTTAGCTGCCTATCCCCCACCCTCCATTTCCCCACAAGCCCACGCTGTGCGACTCACTTTTCTATGAGGGCACCGCCTCCATTTTCTCATTGGCTCTTTCGTTCCCTCATCCCTGACGCTGATCCCTCCTTTCCTTTCTCCACCCCTCTTTTTCTCCACTGAATATCTCTTCATTGCTGGCTGCACAGTCTGCTCATAGCCAAAGGACCCCTCTCACACCGATCCAAGCTTTAAACCTGACCTTTTCCCTGGAAAACTCAGACATTCTTCCACAGGACCTTATTGCTCAAACCTAAAGGTATTGAAAAAAGCCTCTGTGTCCATATTTTATTATCTACTGTATAACTCAGAAGCAGAGCTTCTGTTTTTGAATTGACCTGCCTATCTAAACCAAACTGTACACGTGTGTGCAGAAAAGGAAGTTTGCAAATTCTTCACAGCTGCCAGTAGAATGCTGGTGTTTTACTCAGAATGCAGTTTTGTCTTGACTTGGATGTTAAAACATCTTTTATTCACAGGATTTCTACTTGTATTGGTGTTAAGGTTGTTTCTGGCAGACAATACAGCAGTCAGAAATTTAGTAATTTAACACAGATAACTTGTTTTTGTGGTTGCTCCTTGTTTCTTCTAACAAAAGTTCTTGTTTATGTCACATTATGACATTTTCACGTCATTCTTTTGAGCAGGTAACTACTAATCCTTTTACCAAAGGAGAGGACACTCAGGAGCAACAGGACTTTAACCTAGTCATCAGCGCATCGATAGTGTTTTCATCACTGCCAAGGCCTGCTTGGGAACAGCAGCTCTGCAGATTCCAGCCACAAATATGACTCAAAGCAATGGAGAGAATCCACAAAGGAGCCGCAGTGGTCTTCACCAAATCCGAGCCGGGATCCAGTCCAGGTCGTTGCTCGCCAAGAAGAGAATGGAGAACATCAAGAAGGACGAAGTGAAGGGGTTCTTCATGAAAAATGCTTTTGTCATTCTAACCATCATTGCTGTCATTACAGGTAAGGAATGAATTGTCTAGGAATTTTCTTTCTCTTGGACCACTGAATGGTTTATATTCGGGGCTCTCTGAGCAATTCAGTTAATTACAAATGAGACTTCATCATTCCTCGTAAAAATATCCCACATCAGCTCAATAATTGATCAGTTCCTTGTCACCAGCAGACCCATAATGGTCCAAAGAAACAAACCACCTAACACAGTCAGCACTGATGAATTTAACAGACTAGTCTTTCCTTGACCCCATGCATGACCTTTGAATTCTCTCTACTGACCCGTGAATTCTGCCCTGGAGGAGGTGAAGCTGACCCAACTGAAGCAACAATGTAGCAACAATGCAGCTAGAAATACACCAAATTAAATTGAAGATGTTTGTCAGATTTCACAATCTGTCACCTGGAACTGTCAATATATTTCTTGCAGAGTGAACAATTGACTAATTGGATACAAATAGACATGTGCCTTGTTCTGGTTGAGCAGCATTGCTCGACTCTTTCTGGTACTGAAAATCATAATTTACCACCTTTTCCTCCACATCTGATCTCCCTGCAGGTATAATCCTGGGATTTTCTCTGCGTCCATACAAACTGTCTTACCGTGAAGTGAAGTACTTCTCCTTTCCCGGAGAGCTGTTGATGAGAATGCTCCAGATGCTGGTGCTGCCACTGCTAGTCTCAAGTCTTATCACAGGTATTATATAACAGCTTTGTGTAACAACAAGCTGGATCAGAAAGAGGATGTGTATTTATGTGACGAGAAAAAACTAATTGAAAGTGTTTCTGGATGCTTGTTACATCTTGACTTGTTGGTATTAGGAAAAAGGTTTCTGTGTGAAAAAAGCACAAGCTCATAAAAAAAAAAGATTGGATGGGGTAGATAACAACATATTTAAAATGCCTTCCTTTTACATTACCATTTTAAAAACATCAACAGTGACACTAGAACAATGTCAGCCAGCTTGGGAGCCATCTGGGCCATTGTCTGATGAGGCACACATTCCTGTTCTGTTACTTTAACAAGCTGACTGAACAAACCACATTTCTGAAATCACTAAATACATCTCATTTTATGGGATAATAAAGTTAAAAAAACATGGTTAGAAAAATAAATAAACAAGCAAAAAAACAACAACATATGTTTATTATTTCTTTTACATAAATAAGAAAAAAGGAAACAGAAAAAGAGACAGATATTAATAATTTTTTGATGTGCTGCACTCATTTGATCCTATATTGCTTTTTTACCAGCATTTCACTTTTAATGTAGTGAGACTGATCACCCTCAAAACTTGCTTAAGGCAAAAAAGTGTTGTCCTTGACTGCACCTGATTTAAACACACATCCACAGAACTACTCCCATGGTCCTTTGTTTAATCTTTTTATCTCACAACTTAAAGACAACGCAACATGCGCCTCCATCGCCTCGTATTTACAGCATTGTATTTCTCTCATCCAACCTTCTCTGCGTCTCCTCTGCGTGACTCCACAGCTTACTTCTCATTTTGTTGTTAGAAAATCCTTCCTTTTTGTCTTCTAACTTTTTTAAATTTTGAGCTTTGTCTTTGGATGAAGCCCCTCTGTTGTGAAACACCACAGATGACTGCTTGTTTATTATTCTGCGGCTCCACCAACCTATAAGTACATTATGAGCGGTAAAGCGAGCCAGCTGTTTTGTAAGTCAACGTGCTTTGTTGCTATCAAGGTGGATGATGTCATAAGCATCCAAACATGTTGACTTGCAGTTATGTCTTGAATCACATTTGACCTGTTTTTAACGGTTTTGATTTGGATGCAACAAATCCAAACCGTTTTACTTAAAGTATTTTACAGTTACTGTACATTACCTAGGTACTGTCCCGAGCCCTTCCCATTTGGACCAGTATTTATGAAAAGCAAAAACAGAAGGCGTCCTACTGATGTTTCTATGTTTGGAAAGAGAAGTTGTATTCACTTTTATAACCAACAGTACCAGCATGCAGCCAGTGGTTAGTTTTGCGTAACGCTGACAAAATACTGCAGGAGTAAATGTCCGGCTTTTGCAGTGACTGACAGAGAGAGAGCCCGGTCTTCAGAGGGGATGACACAGACACATCTAATAATAGTCGGCTTTGTGCTACAGCGGAGCATAACATCAGCATCCTGATTTGTTCACAACACATGATCTCAGCCACAGCGTGTAGAAGTCACAGAAGTACATCGTTCAGTTTCAAAGTTGTTTGTCTCTGTTTCCAGAAACGTATACATTATTGGCAGTTACATTACTACAGCAGTTTCTTTTGTTTTCAAGTGCTGTTTTCCTTTCCATAAGTCTATAAGCATGTTAAAATTATGAACCTTCACTAACTTAAGATATTTCTGATGTCACAAATATAAATTGGTAAAGAGTCACTAGGAAGTCTAGTTACTTTTTATGAGGGACATCAATTTAATTTTGTAATTTAGAAATGTTATGTTGTTTATATTAAAATGCAGCTTTTTGATTTCATTACTGTTTAGTTTTTTCACATTTTTGATGAAAATAATGAATCTGCCAGCCCACTGTGTTTTGATCGGAAACAATAATCTCACATACTTTAGCTTTACCTTTTTTTCAACCATCCTAAATTAACCAAGGAGCTTTAATCCCATTCTCTTGAAATAACAGCCACATTTTTCATATAGTGAGCAAGACTTTGAATAATAAATAATCTCTTTCTATAATTTCTGCAATGACATGTCAAAGGGACATGATTCTGAGTTGGAGTCCTGCTTCTATGTGAAAAGAGTTGTCCCATGTGAAAATGTCTTGCTTCTGAGCTGAAATGATCTAAAAGTGAAGCTGAGTTGTGAGCCTAAAAAAATTCAAGCAGACCTTAGAGGGGCCCTATGCGGTGTTTTGAGCTGAATATAGTGGGGCCCCAGAAGGTAATAAATTAGGGACGGTAAGGACGGTTGAGCTGTAAGGCGGATGAGGGGAAGAACAACAGATAGAGACTTATGAGAAAGAAGCTTATGTGGTCTGCTCATTAAATGAGAAACAGGACCTAGAAGAAGCTTTGTTTGCTAACACGTTTTTATTTCTTCTCATTTCAGTCAACTCCATCACACTTGATTAAATACAACCTGAAAATGAAATGCTTTACAGAATAATTGGAGACCACCAGAGAGTTTTTATATTGCAGACATTAAAGAAGGAATGATGGAATAGAGGAAATAAAAGGCCTGAGGAGACGAAAATATTACAATTTGACATTCAGAATGAGGTCTTAACTTTTAAAATTCAGAAAATAACAAAACACGTTCTAGTGTTCTACTGCATAAAGTTTCCAAAATGTTGATGTTTGTAGTTGTAACCTGACAAAATGTGAGGAAGTTGAAGGCACTGTACATGCTGTGTTTCACACTGACTCTCACAGAGCCGGACTGATGAGCATTCCCCCAAACTACAAAGAAAGTCATTCAGCTTGCGCTCCTTCAATCTTGTTCCTTTCGATCTTTTGAAAAGATTGAATTGGTGAGGCTGCATCTGTTGTTGCCTGGACAACAGTCTGGAGATCATTGTGAGTACGTGCAGGGTGGACTAAGTCAACAAGTTTTCCCAGGGTTGTCAGACAGGGAACGGGAAGAAAGCGAACGCGGAATCAAAGAGAACTACAGCAAAAGGGTCAGTCTGTTAGAAAAAAGAGAGGAGGGATAAAAGATTTGGGGAGAGACAAGGGGAAAACAGACTGGGGTTCACCCTGAAAGAAGAGATGGAGATGGATGTGTGGAAAAGAGAGGAAATAAAACACTGGGGATGAGTGAAAGAAGGAGGTGAAGGAGAAGATCAGAAAAAGATGGATGAGAGCCTGAGTCCTGAATTGATGAGGTGATAGGAACAAATAGGTCCAATTCTGGGGCAGCATGTCCATCCAAACACATTTGCACTCTTTCTAATGATACTGTCTGACACTTCTAAATGGTTTTCTAATCATTTTCACTCTACTGAGTCATTCCTAAACTCCAGAGTTCTTGAGGCAGACAATAAAGTTGTGATCTTCAAACAGCAATGACCTTCTGATGAATCCACAGATGTCTCAGCAAACATCTGGAGAATTAAAGAGCTACAGAGAAATACATAAGTCTCTCAAATAGACAAAGCCTGCTTAGAAATCTCTGAAGAAAGATCATTTTAACTGAACCATTTTAAAGCAACCTGTCTCCTAATTCAGGTTTTTGTGGCCTTTTTTTCCATCTTTGCCCCATAGATGGTTGCAGGGGTCCGCAAAGATGGTTGCAGGGGTCCGCAAAGTCAGTCATCGAGAGCCGGCCTCCAGCATGTTTCAGTTCTCTCCCTGATTTAACACACCTGGATCAAATGATGCTAAAACATGCAGGATGCTGGCTCTGGAGGACCGACTTTGGGGACCCCTGGTTTATTGCGAGAACCATTAGTTTTTAATCTTCTTCAGGTTTCTGTAATTTCGTAGCAAACCTTGTTCTTAAATTGAAAAACTTTGCCAGACACAACAAAGCGTTGTGCTGAAAGGGATTTTCTGTGTGAGACATCACTTGTACATAGTGATACCTTTCCCTGTATCATTTCCTCTGAGGGACAAACAATGCCCTAGATTTAGCCAGGCAATCAGCAACTAACATCTCTGCACACTGTGTTCACAACAAACTGATGACACAGAGAGACACGTCGGACTTTACAAATGCAGAAGCAGTGTACTACTTTTTCTACAGTTTGTGGACAAAATGACAATTCAAGATCAATATTTTGGATGTTTTACCTCTGCAGCTGTTTGTGAATTTACTAAATAAAAGAAGATTTTATTAGCTTTCCCCACAGAGATTTAGTAGCAGGTGTTGTTTTTCCAGCATTAAAGGTCGCAGTCAGATTGTGTTTCTTGTGGCTCTTTGTTGTCGGAGTCGGAGATGATAATCCAGTTGGGTGTATTCCCCCTATAATAACCAACCCTTTTCCCAGGCTAACTGGACACACAAAGGCACTGAAATTAGCGGCACATCAATGCTATTCTGATTGCGATGGGCAGGCGTAACTAATAATCACAATCAAATTACTACACCCCTGATAAGTTCCAGTCTTTTGTGCTAAAGAATTAAAAGTATAGCAAAGAGTTTATCATAAATATTTTAAAATGTTTTTAACATTTATTCTGATGTAAATGTTGTATAATTAACCTGAGAAATCAACAAATTTTTTTGATGAAAAATAAGTTTTAAAACTGAAGAAACGTATTTCTGCAGCTAATTTTTGCAACCTTAAACAATTTTTTATCAATGTCAATTTAATTTCACTTTGAATCAAATGTCCTTTAGCTTAAGAAATCATTTCGAAAATATCAACAGGATCTCACTGCATAAAGGTATCAGTTAGGTGAATAATACAAAAAAATTCCAGGATGTATGGATGAAGGTTAAGTTTTGGGTTTGATATACATTTATTTGAGACAAAATCAAAAATGAAAGTCTCCATGATTTGGAAATGTGATGGTATTACCCTCAAAATCTTGGGTTGTTTTTCTTAAGAGAGAACTGGGTTTTTTGTCAGGGTAAATCAAATTATGAACACCTCAAAAGTGTTCTGTTTTAAAGCAAATATGGCTGTGTGTTTTTTGGTCTGGGAGTGGAAACATTAAAAAAAATCTTCAAAAATACAATGTGATAAATTTTGTAATTGACAGGGGCCAATTTGTTTAATTTTTTATTTCTATGAACAAAAAAGAAAGAAATTGTGGCCCCTGACCTGTCGGTCAGGGGCCCTTAGAATTGTCATAACTATAAGGCGCCCCTGCTCTCACAGTACACAGACACAATTCAGCTTTTTGTCATTGTCTACATGTTCAAATATTTTCCGTGACATGGCATTTAAAAGGTGGAAAAAATATGTTGATGAATAAACACACTCCAAAAGCAGCAGAAATATTCCATGTTTGTGCAATACATAAAAAATCAAAAACAAAACAAACATTTTTTTCTGTTTGAATGATTTTGTCCTCTTTAGGTATTGCCTCCCTGGATAGACGGGCTTCTGGTAGAATGGGCATGAGGGCAGTGATCTACTACACTACCACAACTTTGATTGCTGTGTTCATCGGTATAGTCATGGTGCTTATTATTCACCCTGGAAAGGGATCCAAGGACGAGTTCACCAAGCAGCAACAGATAGAGCAGGTCAGCCCTGCTGATGCCTTTCTGGATCTTATCAGGTATTCAAAACAGTGCTTCCTAAACAAACCAAAAGAGTTTCACCAAAAATCAGACAGCAAAACCCACATGTGTTGTAAGTGATCATTTTTGTCTTGTAAATAGACTAAAGATATAGAAATGTCTTTTATTCATTCAGGTGTACCAGCAGCACAGTGAAAGTTAAACGGAATGTAGAAACAGAAAATGTGAAGAAACTGTACAGCAAATACAAATTTACAACTTAAGAACACGATACTTTGCAGTTATTAAAAATAGCATAGTCAGATTAAAAGAAGCATGCAACTGAGTAGGAAAAAGTGAAAATGTGCATGTATCTACAAAAAGTAACTACTGGCGAGAAATAAAAAAACTACAAGAAAATTAAAGGAACTACTTTCGCTTTGGAGTATCCACACTGTTCAAAATTGCTTTTTGAATTTGAAACTTTTCAGAAACACAAATTGTTCAAAAACTCTTAACTTTTTCGAAAGAAGAACTTGTTCATCATAGAAAAGTAGATTTTGCAGATTCATGCTTTAAAAAACTAACTTTTTTATTGTTTTTATTTTTTTTCTTCAGAAACATGTTTCCTCCAAACCTTGTGGAAGCTTGCACCAAACAGGTATATTTTCATTTTCTGGTCTCTCTAATTAAATATTCTAGAAGTGAAATGAAATTAGGTTTTCCTAATGTAACACACTCAAAGAGACTTTACACTGGTAATTACTCACTAGTGTAGCTGAACCAGTTGGTTTTTCTCTAGGAAGTTTCTCTAGTAGATGAAGATTTGCTTTTATAGTTTTTCTGTAGTATCTATTCTTCTGTAGTGTCCTTCTTATGGAAAGCTCAGGTGAACATTTTTACATTGTAAGCGCCACATAATACAAACTTGGCATTATTATAATTAAAATTTATAACTTAACAAGGGGTCAGAGAAGAGTGAATGGTTTGTTTTTGAAACAAAGCCCATTAAATCTTATCTGAATGATGCAGATTTCTTATTGACAAAAAAAAAAAAAAAAAAATTTTCATTAGGTTTTGCGCACATGATTTCTTTCAATATCACATTGGATTATTAAAACATGCCAGTATAACAAAATGTTCCAAAGCCAGAGAAAATTTTAATTAAAGTTATTTTGCAGGATGTTGTTTGAATTTGTTTCCATGAAATCGAGCTCTTGAAATGTTGAAGTCAGGAAGAAATTAAAAGCTAATTAAAATCCCATCCAAACAATTCTCAGAAAACAATAATATCAATAGTAATTGCATTACGTGATTATCCAAAGGAGGTTTCCAAAAGTTGGATGGGAACTTTAGCTGTTGAGATTCTTGTAAATTTCTACTTTCATTTCCTTTTTTATACACGCATGTAATGTAGGAAGCACTCAGAGACATGGACAACAAAATGGTAACACAGCAAGATGAATGGATAGATGTTTTGTTGGGCAGGCAGGCAAAATTATGTAAAATGCTAAATAACATTAATCCTAAAAAACACCAAAATAGCTATTTATTTTTTAGATGAACAATAAACTGTAAATCCAGGCCAGTCAGCCTTGACCCACTGCACCCATTGACTGGACATGCAAATAAACAATAAAAAACTCATTTGGGACAAAAATTATTCTGTCTGTGCACTGTGGTGCTCTCAAGACCATGCAGGCCTGGCTAGACAGTATTGACTGAGCCTATAAATAAAACACTTTTAGACAAATTTTCCCAAAACAGGAATTAATAAATTTATATTTGTTTTTCTTTAAACTTCAGTTCAAGACGCAATATGCCAAGAGAGTAATCAATGTGACTGTTACGGTGAACAACACAATATTCCTCCAAAATGGCAGCCAACAAATAGCCCAAGAGGAGATGATTCCAGTACCAGGATCAGTGAATGGGATTAATGCCCTGGGCTTGGTGGTGTTCTCCTTGTGCTTTGGTCTGATCATTGGGAACATGAGGGAACAAGGACAACCCCTCAGAGACTTCTTTGACTGCCTCAATGAGGCCATCATGAGGCTAGTTGCCATCATAATGTGGTATGTACTAGAAATGTGAGCTCGAACGATGGATTATCAAAAGAAATAACACGTAATGAAATGTTTCAATCCTTCTTTTGTAAAACTCACTATCCTCAGGTATGCCCCTGTTGGTATTTTGTTCCTCATTGCTGGTAAAATTGTGGAGATGGATGACATTTCAGCCATGGGCGGCCAACTGGGAATGTATACAGTAACAGTTATTAGTGGCCTGCTCATCCACGCCATCATAGTCCTCCCAACGCTGTACTTCGTTATCACCAGAAAGAATCCCTTTCTATTCATTGCTGGACTGCTGCAAGCTCTTGTTACTGCCCTTGGAACATCGTCTAGGTTTGTGATTCAACTGACAAAGACAAGGAGATGTCTTCATGAACATTTTTACTGTCTCTTATGACTTTTTCTGTTTCCCATTCTGTTCTCACACAGCTCTGCCACATTACCCATCACTTTTAAATGCCTGGAGGAAAACAACAAGGTAGACAAGCGTGTGACTCGTTTTGTTCTCCCTGTCGGAGCCACCATAAATATGGACGGAACAGCTTTATATGAGGCCCTGGCAGCCATCTTTATTGCACAAGTCAATGATTATGACCTTAACTTTGGACAGATTCTCACCATCAGGTATTGCAAAATTTTGTTGCTCATAACAATATTAGTTCAAAATATGGACAACAAAATGGTAACACAAAACAGAAACAGACAAAACAAAACAGAAAACTAATTGAAAGTGTTTCTGGATGCTTGTTATATCTTGACTTGTTGGTATTAGGAAAAAGGTTTCTGTGTGAAAAAAGCACAAGCTCATAAAAAAAAAGATTGGATGGGGTAGATAACAACATATTTAAAATGCCTTCCTTTTACATTACCATTTTAAAAACATCAACAGTGACACTAGAACAATGTCAGCCAGCTTGGGAGCCATCTGGGCCATTGTCTGATGAGGCACACATTCCTGTTCTGTTACTTTAACAAGCTGACTGAACAAACCACATTTCTGAAATCACTAAATACATCTCATTTTATGGGATAATAAAGTTAAAAAAAACATGGTTAGAAAAATAAATAAACAAGCAAAAAAACAACAACATATGTTTATTATTTCTTTACATAAATAAGAAAAAAGGAAACAGAAAAGAGACAGATATTAATAATTTTTTGATGTGCTGCACTCATTTGATCCTATATTGCTTTTTTACCAGCATTCACTTTTAATGTAGTGAGACTGATCACCCTCAAAACTTGCTTAAGGCAAAAAAGTGTTGTCCTTGACTGCACCTGATTTAAACACACATCCACAGAACTACTCCCATGGTCCTTTGTTTAATCTTTTTATCTCACAACTTAAAGACAACGCAACATGCGCCTCCATCGCCTCGTATTTACAGCATTGTATTTCTCTCATCCAACCTTCTCTGCGTCTCCTCTGCGTGACTCCACAGCTTACTTCTCATTTTGTTGTTAGAAAATCCTTCCTTTTTGTCTTCTAACTTTTTTAAATTTTTGAGCTTTGTCTTTGGATGAAGCCCCTCTGTTGTGAAACACCACAGATGACTGCTTGTTTATTATTCTGCGGCTCCACCAACCTATAAGTACATTATGAGCGGTAAAGCGAGCCAGCTGTTTTGTAAGTCAACGTGCTTTGTTGCTATCAAGGTGGATGATGTCATAAGCATCCAAACATGTTGACTTGCAGTTATGTCTTGAATCACATTTGACCTGTTTTTAACGGTTTTGATTTGGATGCAACAAATCCAAACCGTTTTACTTAAAGTATTTTACAGTTACTGTACATTACCTAGGTACTGTCCCGAGCCCTTCCCATTTGGACCAGTATTTATGAAAAGCAAAAACAGAAACCAAGACTCAATTAAAATATACTTTATGCTGAACTAAATGATTAAGCTAAATCTGCCAAATCTGTGGCTCTTTGATTGCAAAACTGTGCTACAAAAATATCTAAAAAGTTACATTTGCATTCAGTCCTTCAGAGTCAGCACTTTGTAGAATCCTCTTTCACTGCAGTTTTAGCTGCTTCCCGGCAGCTGTTTGGTGTGTTTTCTATTGCTTTTGCACAATTAGAGACTGAATTATTGCCCAATCTTCTTTAAGAAATTGCTGAGGTTTAGTCAGATAGCATTTATATAAAAGCCAGGTTTATCAAAGATTTATTCATCAGAAGAAAGATTTAATATCATCCATCATTCTCTTTTGATGTTTGCCACAATAACAGGGTATCTTGTGTTGGTCTTATCCCATTGAATACATTGATGTTTCTGGCCGTGTGTGACAAACTGTGGAAAGGCTTAATGGACATGAATTCCTTTGCTGTAGTGCTATCAGAAAGAAATGCCACAGCAACCAAAATTAGAAGTTTACTGAATAAAGAGATAAATAATATTTTGGGGTCTATCATTTTCTCCTCAGCATCACAGCCACAGCAGCCAGCATCGGTGCAGCTGGAATACCTCAGGCAGGCCTGGTTACCATGATTATAGTACTAACATCTGTAGGTCTTCCCACAGATGACATCTCACTGATCATTGCTGTTGATTGGTTCCTGTAAGTATCCAGGAGAATGGGCTTTAGTCATGCTCTTTGAATGGCAAATTAAAAGCAAGTTGCAGATTTTGTTCAAAATGTACAACAGCTATACATCGCAATTGCTCTGTTTACCTATTGATTAAATTTTGAATATGCTCTGGAGTCTCTGCATCATTAAAGGGACACAGTGTTTTGATTTCTTGAAATCCTGTTTTTGTACTCTGACAGTTTTCATGTTTTTTTCTCTGTTTCTCAGTGATCGATTGCGCACCACTACCAATGTCCTTGGTGACTCCATTGGAGCTGGCATTGTAGAACATTTGTCTCGCCACGAGTTGAGAGTCAACGACCTAGAGTTGGGCAACCAGACGATTGACCAGCCAGAAAAAAAGCCATACCATCAAATTTCCCCAGAGAATGAATATGAAAATGAGAAGCCCACTCCAGATGACACTAAAATGTAGTGGCAAGATTTCTACCCTTTCTTTCTGAAAATGTATTGCGTTGTACTGCATCATATTGTCTGATAAGACCTCTTGAATTCTCACAAGAAAGTTTGTTTTTTTCAATGCACTTATATGTCATGCCTGAACATATTTCAGGCCAAATAAGCTCTACTAATGTGTGATGCTCCTCTTTTCACCCTGCAGACTGGAAACAATCTGTGGTCAAGTTGGCTGTGCAGATGGATACACTGAAAAAAAAAAAGTCTGTAATTTATGGTAAAATACTGGCAACTAAATTTTAACCACCACTGCCAGCATTTTACCATAAATTAGAGACATTTTTTACAGTGTAGAACAAAAATCCATAATGAGATACATAACTAGAATAGCCTGGCTGCTGTTTAGCTATCTGTGGCCTTCATTCTATATTTCCCACTTCGCTATATGTAATGACCATCGTCATTCACTAGAGGGAGGTATTTCTGTTATTTTAAACTCTTAAATAATACGTACGTAGCTCATCAGAGTACATAGTAATGACTGCTTTGAGATTGTTGTTGAGTAACTGCTGATTTATATGAAATCTTAATGTATAGCTATAGTATGCTAACTTACCAAACTCTTTGTGGAAAAAGGTTGTTTTTTTTTCAAACCCCTGCACAAACACATGTGGCTTCAACTGCTTTGTACATATTTTAGATTTATTAGGGAGGGTACGCTCTATAATTAGGAATATATTGATTTGGGTCTCAACTGACCAAAGCAGTAAGTGTTGCTGTAGTCGTAATAGAAACTATATTTTTTTGTACACATAACCAGAATTAGATTTTATCAAATACCCTATGAGTGTGTTTTTGTTATACAGCTTCCTCAACCAGTGGTTACAGTCAACTAATACAAAACTGCTCAGCCAATCATATTCAAGGTCAATTTACCTGACTTTGCTTAGTATGTTATGGATTATTAACCCAAGAGGTAAAGCCATTCATGTTTTACCAAAAATAAAACAAAAGAAAGCATAATTTCAATCTAAATTTACTCAAATATGTAAATAATCCAAAGACTACAGTGATGTTTTGTAGAAAACACGCTTTAAGCTTTTATTTCTCAGATTAAATAAGAACACAAAATTTGGGGCATTTCAAAGATGAAAGGTGTCTTTCTTTGTGTGCTATTTACTTTGCAATTTTGTTTTACAAATTACCAGCTTGTGTCTTCTCAATATGTGATAATATGATGCAACATAAATGCATGAAAGTTTCATCATATTTCAATGGCTTTGAATAGCAAGGAGATGGTAGAATATATATAAAAAAATATTCTGTGTTGCATCTATTTTCAAGCTCATGTTTCTCAGCAAAAGCTGATAGTGATTTTGTCTGGTTTAACTATGCTCCCTGTTAAACACATTCATTTTCAGCTGCATTTTTAATTTGTCTGACTTGCTGTTTCTTCATCTACTCATTGAATATATGGATTTGCATTTTTATAGTAGATATTTTGTATAGAAGATCATTTCAGAAATAGTGTACTTTTATGAAGACCTGTAGATAAATGTGTAAAAGAATTTTGGATTCAAATTGCTATGTATGTGTTTTTTGAGGATTGTATAAATACAGAAAATGTAACTACATTCTTCTTTAGCCTTATGACCAATTTGTAATTACATTAAACACTCAAGGGAATTGAAAGGTTTGTTTGTTTACAGTTGCTGATGACTCATTTGGTACAAATGCTTCTTCTCATGCTTTCACTTGTAAACATATTTGATTAGATAGCTGTAGTTCTGACTTGCATGTCATATTTTTATTAAAAATATAAATGAGCAAATAATTTGGAGGTATGTTCATTATTTCAAAACAAAACTGAATAAGGTTTTATTCATTTTAGCTGGGGCTGCAGTAGCAACAACTTGAAGTAAGTCAAGTCGGAAGTTTTTATTTCTACTACAAACCATAATCAACAGGTGCAGCTTCTACTACCTTATGAGGTAACTAGATGATCACATCTTCTCTAAAGAAATGGAGAAAATTGTCATAAAAACTAAACCTTAAACACTGGTGACCAAGAGTATAACCTGTAGTACCTGTTTTTAATCTATTTCAATAAGATTTCCTGGAAGTAGATTGATATCAAACTACTATAAGCTTTCAGGGAACAAAGAAATTTTTCCAAAATGCATTTGAGAAACTACTTGTAAGTCCTAATATATACTTAGATATTTCATTCAATGCTCTGCCTCATATTACAGATTCAATACAACTTTAGTTTTTAGTTTGCCACAATCAGAATCTTGTTTTTGAATTCAGATTGATTTTCTACACCCAAAATAAATTATTGGTATTTCTATTATATAGTGAAAATAAATATTTATAGATAATTATGCTAACTGTTCTAACTTAGAACCCACAACTGTTTAGTTTCGTATTATGTGTATTTTCAAATTTTAACACAAATTGTAACCCAATTATTTAGTATAAACCCTCTTTTGGGTTGAGATCTGGTGACTCTGGAGGTCATGGTGAACTCTCTATAATGTGTAAGAAACCAGCAAATTGCCATTAGAAGATATGTAAACAAAGATTATAGATAGAGTAATGTGGCCAACAGCAATACTCAATTTGGTTGTTGTACTTAAACTCTGCTCAGGTGCCGCAAACAGACCCAAAGTATTCCAAGAAAATATCTTTCTGCACGAAGTCTTTCCCTGTGCATGCGTAGGTTCTCTTCGGGTTCCTCCCACAGGCCAAAAAACATGACTGTTAGGTTAACAGCTCTATCTAAATTCTCCCTGGGTACACGTGTGTGTGTGCGTGTGTGTTGAGTGCATGCATGGTTATTTGTCCTGTCTGTCTCTGTGTTGCTCCCGTCCGGAATGTTAGGGATCAGCACCCCTCCTGACCCCACTAATGGAAAATGGACGGGTACCTCAAATAGGGTAGAATTTATCTAATTTTGCTGCAAAAGTGTATTCCAAAAAATAGTCGCAATTTGCATCATTTATTAAAACTTGTGTTACTATTTACGTAATTTTCAATTTGAAATAATAATAAAACCCAATCAAATTCAATTAATATAAACAGTTTAATTAATTTCGTTTATTAAATTCAAACAGTGTGAGTGCATGGATGGTTGTTATTTTATTAGTGTCAATAGATACATTGACTGAGGGAAGACAAACTTGTCCTACAGTGCCTCCTAGCGGATGATGTATGTAAAGCTACATGGCATTTTGTTTGGCGCCGATGGAGGGAGTCACTCCTGAGATCTTTGGTCAGTCAGACGACAGAACTTCCGGTCGGCATTTTGTTCTACGAGAGGAGAGCCTCTGGATGATCGCAAAAATCGTCATTTTTCTCATTTACGGTCGAAATTGGCTACCAACTTTGTTTACGTCGGCACAGACCGACTGAAACTCCGAAGAACGAATGTTTCCCCATGATTATACGTTGAAACATTCACCCTCGACTGACGGAAGAAGAACGAATCGGTCCGACCCGGATTATTGTTGATAGCTAGCAGGCTAGCTCGTCAGCTAGCTGGCGAGCCAGTCGAGTTCCTTCTGGAGGAGCCGCGAGAGAGAAGAAAGGGGGAGCTAGAGATACGGACACAAACCCAGCTAAAACATTGCCCTCCCTTTGAACGCAACATCCGAAGGTAAATGCTAGCGCGCAGTTGGTGCTTATTTAGAACATTTAAGGACTGCAATTATTTAAAATGATGTTATTAATTGTTGTATTGCAAGACCACCTACGGCGTCGTTAATCGTTGACCGGGAGGTAACGGAAGCTACTAACTAGCTAGCCAAGCTAGCTAGGTGTGTTTTTGCTCTGCCGAGGCGCACGGCCCTCACTGGATGTCATTTGTCGAGCCCGAGGATTGGGCCGTTGCCACGGAATTGCAATCCCCACAGTTGCCTGTACATGTACTTTCAAACCCATCACTTTTTTCCTCCGAGCTTAGAGTAAATAGGCCAACATTCAACAACCCGCGACCAGCGCTTCCTTATATTTGTAATATTAAGAATCAGGTTCTCCTTCTGTTTAAATAAGAAACAGCATTAGAAGCTAAATAAAAACAGTTAGAGCTAGTTAGCCTAACTAGCTAGGTAATAAAATACGACAATTGTTTTTAGCAGATATTACTGCTGCCGTAGATAGTGTTTTTTTCCGCTTTGCTGTAGCTTCAGGCTTTGCGTATAAGATCCAAACAGTCAAGAACTCGGCAGTTTAACGACGGTCGTTTTTATAGGACTATATGGCGCTTTAGTTGGACTATTTAGTATAAATCTAAATATTAAAATAGATGCTAACGCGAGGTTGAAGTTAGCACAAATCATTTTACATTTTGTGATGTTGTTTTCTTTTGAACCCTTTTACTATGGTAGTGGTGGCTTTGGATACGAGTCTGATTGGGGAGGTTTTTACTGAGTGCAGCCTACTTTGTCTAAGCTGTGACTGCTTTTCCGTTGGAGTTTGTTTTTGTTGTGAGCGAAAACTGTAGAGCATGGTTTTCAGCTACTTAGTTTGCAAGAGGCGAATTGTAACTGTTTGCTTCTGGAGGATGCAGACTCCCTCCCCCCCCGCCAACCCCTTCCCTACTGCTGCCGCCGCCGCCACCATCACAGTGCATCTGTTCCTTTGTGCTGCCTCCTGCCTGTCAGTCTCACAGCTGTCAGCCTGGAGCCAAGCCCCTGCGTGCAGGGGAAAACCACACAGACCGAGCATGCTAACGCTTACACCTACTAATGTACAGTTCTCATCATCCCTCTGTTGACCCTCCGTTACAGTTAGCTTATGCACAGCGAGACTCTGCTCCGAGTAAACTGAAGTGTGTGATCTCAGTCGTACGTTCGTCTCCGTCTGGGGGCGTTGATGGGTTTATATGGCTTCAGTTATACGTAAAACTTTCCTCAGAAGTTATTGACATAAGGTGCCACATTGAGGTTAACAGCGCTGCACGTTTTTGCATTCCAGGCTCAAAGGTTGTACGACAGCAAAAACGGTGTCATTGCAAAGAATACGTGCATGTGAAGTGGTGCAGGCTATGTTGTTGTGTTGCATATAATTGTTCCAGAGAAGAATGAAGTGCAATTTGAGGATGAAAGTCTTGACACAAATGCTTTCCGTTTAGGAGTCTGAAGGTGCAGGACATTTTATCTGAGATGTCAGTGAGTCTACCGGAGACTGCACGAGATTCTTTAAAAAGGTATTATTGCCATGTTGTATCAGATATGTCAGCCATGTCATTATTGAGACCGCCTGAAGTATGAATGCACATACCAGTTTGTAATTTATTTAATCATTTATTAGGCAAATGTTTGCATCATACATAATATGGTAAATAGCTCAAGAGCCTTTGAAGCATACATTAAATATTCACAAATTTGTGATTGCTTTTCCTCCATTGTCTTACTTCTTACATAAATTACCTAAGGCTAGGTTTAGAAAGTATATTGCAGATGTTTCCTTATGGCATTATAACTGTACAAAATTTTAGTATTGCAGACAACAGCTCAATACAATATGTATTTCCTGCATAATTACCATGCATTTATGCAATGCATACCAACAATGCATTTTGTGATTCTTGTCTAGTACTGCAGGCAATGTTTTAGGAATGCATTGCACTAATGAGAAACTATTTTAAATTGCCAAAAGTAAGTCATTTTACTCTCATAACAGCATATGTAGCCAGATATAACATATTGAATAAAACCGTGCTATTAATTAAGGTTGAAATATTTTTTTTTTCAGTAGCTGCAAAAATATGACTATCTGAGTTCTGTGTCTGCAACAGAACTCGAATTAGATATTAAAAATGGTGACCAGCTGTTTTTTGTTTGTCACAAGACATGTCATCATTAAGACATGTTTGCACATAACTTATCTTATTACCAAAACACAGTGAACCTTCAGAAGATTACATTATAATATGTGAAAACGCTTATGTGCTTCTGTACCTACCAAGAAGCTACATCCTTTAAAGTGAGAATGTGCTGTTTTACTAGCTTCTGTTTTGTTTGTATCTGTTTTTCATACATGGAGTGGGTTTTCTATGGTAACAATTAAAATGTGTGGATATTGTGTTTGTTCGCCTAATTTTGCGCTAATTAGGCTAAAATTCCATCTTAAGTCACACAAACAAAAATATGAGTGATTTGAAGAACAACTTTAATTTTCTCAGGAAATACTGACAAAATCACAATTACAGAATGGAAACTAACAACAATAAAAACAAGTATTTTCCAAGACAGAGACATGTTTTTAATGTAAAATATTACATTACAGATTATTTTGTAAGCTTCAAATCTAAATTTAGTTCTCTGTTGTTTTTGTTTTTTTTAAAAAAGTAACAGGCCTCTATAGTTTAGAGAATATTTACTACCGTCGCTATTCATAAAGATGTTTTATCAGTCAATGGTTAATTCCACAAATAACATTTGTGGTCAGACAGGCATTACTTTACAATACATTGGTAATTGATTTAACTGCTTTTGGAAATCTATTTCTATTTTGCTAATAATGCTTCTTGCTGATTTCTGTTTTTGTCTATTTCTCACTCTAACCATGTCCTCTTCAAGGTGCCAGGAGATGTGAGGACGGGTGTTGTCCGTCGGCCCCCTGATATACCTGTGTATCAACACACTCCCCCGCCCTCACCTTCAGCATGAATGGGGATATGCCCCATGTTCCCATCACCACTCTTGCTGGGATCGCTAGCCTCACAGACTGTAAGTACTCCACACTGTATACCAAACTCCTGTCAAAGTTTGTGCGTCCTTTTGAGGATGAAGTTTTCTGTTTTCAAAGTTTTCGGTTTTTGGCTCTATG